GGCGACCTTTCACTCGAGCGGGAAGGAAAATGACAGCGATGGCAATTACAGATAGCCGGGGTCAAGAATAGAATTGCTTAAATTACCCCTTCATTCTAACCACGTGTAGAACCGGACCATGAATTCCAGTTCTGCTTAAAGGGTTGCAACCTTTTTCAAACCAAGTTGTGTTCGAGACAGTATTCAACCACTCCTGACAATCAGTCGACCGGTGAGCACGCTTACACGGTGAGTATCCGTTTGGCATTCTGGCGTTTTCTCGGCAACTTTGACATACTGCGACGACAAAGCCTCGCATTTGAAAGCTGCAGACCTAGAAATACCTGAAAAAGCACATTTTTCAAGTTGATAAGTAAGTAACATGTGTGAGCTATGAATGTGTCAATACAAACTACTCAAATGTAACTCAAATTCTGAATTATTGTTTTAGGTTTTGAAATAAAATAAATGCTTCCTTCCGCCGGAAATCAGCATAGCTCATACCTTGTGAATAACTTGCCTGAGGAAAAAAGAAAAACCTTTTGGTTTGCCCCGAACACCAAGTGGTCGAAACAGCGCGAGTGAAACTTCATTTAGGTTATCTTTTAGTCCCGATTCTACTTCTCTATGACAACTTTCTTTATGTTGACACTTCTAAAACGTTTTTGTTTGTTTGTTTCCTCTTGTGACAAATTAGAAAAAAGATTTTCTCAGTTTCACTGTGCCCTTGTGGCGACGTTAAGCCTCTAATACGTTCTGAGCACTTCAAACAGGATTCGAACCAAACTGAGGAAACGCAGACCTGTACTTTCACTTGGAGCTACAGCCTTTATTATACTAACACGAAGTTGTTCTTGTTGTTGTTGTTGTTTTTGTATCAGTTACGGTGGTGGAAATACTAGTGGGGTGCGACTAAGGTTAATGGTGTCGTTGATGGTGTTCGGTATCAGTTTTTGGGGTAATGTTCGCTCGAACATCGCCACTTTCTTTTGCTGTGGGTGTCAGATAGTGACCTTGAATATCCACTAGCCATATGGGAAGGTGCTTTGTCATTGCATTAAAAAATATCTGCAGTCAGAATCGCAAAGTGTTTCTTTCTGAATCGATATATAATGTTAAATTAGAGTAAAATTAGCAACATATCTGGTCCAAGTACACAAAGTATTCAAGTCTTTTTTTTTTATTATTATTGCCCGAAGCTGTAACAACCTCAAAAGAGGTTAACAGTGTTAATAAAAAAAAAAAGAAAACAGCATAAAAAGAGCAGAAGTTAGTTGAAAAATTGAAGAAAAAATCCTCTGGAAGTCACTGGGTGTGAGGCTTCCAGTAGCTTCTTTTCAAGTTCCTTCAACCACATGCCCCTACTTCTGTGCTATCTTCATGCATCACAGAAGAGGTGTGACAGACAAATCCTGGCTCCAGACCACAGCCACGTCTCCATTAGTTTAATTTACTAAATCTTTATCAGACTAGTAATATAGAACTAATCATATTGTAACTTATCGCCCAGTAAATGTTGACACCCTAGTGTCTTCCTATGACCATATTGAAAAAGTCAAAGGAAAACTTAAAATGTTTAAAATCGCAAATAAAAAGAAGGAACACATACAACATGGACGAGCGCTCGTCCAGGTTTTATGTGTTCCTTCTTCGTCTTTTTGTTATTTGCGCTTTTAAAGCTTTTAAGTGAACATGAATCAAATAGCTGAAGCCAAAGTATTAATTTATAAGAAGGGTTACTTCTGGACTAATGCTCACAATAAAAGATCGTATAGACAAACCAATAACGTAACTCAGACGGCCCTGATTTGTTGATATGTTGAAGGAGGTACGCAGTGTTCAAGGCCGTGGCAGGCACGTAGCCAGGAGGGGGGGCCCATGGGGCCCGGGCCCCCTCCCCCCCCCAGAAATCTTCCATTTTGCTGGGACCTCCTCTCCCCCCTCCCCCTCATACAGCATTTTGTCATGGGCGCCCCCCCCCCCCCCCCCCAACAAAATCCTGGCTAGGTGCCTGGACCGTGGTATTAATTTATCTTAATGAGTCTTTTCTTAGCCCTACTCAGCAACGGCGAATTTGTCCACATGCCGAATTTCTGTGGGATATTTTTCTTTTTTTGTACCAAGCGCAAAGTTATATCTTTTGCACAAACATTTAACGTAGAATACGTTTCCAGCGAGTGTAACTTAGTATAAACCTAAAGGCCCGTTCGAGTTTGACGACGAACGACTGACCGGTTTTTAAGCCTCTTGTGACGGCTTACGATAAACTGCACTGCTGGGCTGCCGGTTGTAAGCCGTCATTAGAGCCTATAAATTGGTATTTTAACAGTCAAACTCGAGTGCGTGAACAGGTTTCAGGCCACGAAAGCAAGTCGTACAGCGCTTGGACCGAGAAATCCACCAGACTTGGCAGGATAATTAGAAGGATTGCCATCATGTATTGCACGCATATAGAGTATTCCCGTACAATTAAGTCCACTCAGCAAATGAGTCTTTTCCTAAATTGTTCGGCGCCGTCTATCGTTAAACAGCGAAGCGTTTTTCGTTGCCTCGTAATTTCATGTAGTATAAAATGAAATAATATGTTCTCACCTTACAAGGGAAATATGGTATATTGACAAGGAAATGACGATGGCCACATCCAGTGTTGGGAAGTACTTTATGGTACGATGCACTTAAAGTATTACTTCAAGTAGGATTTGAAGTTTTGTACTTTACTCGAAGTACAATCCCTGAGTGCTTTATTTGGAGTATCTTTGCTTTATTTGGAGTGCTTTATTTGGAGTATCTTTTCTGGTATGTTCCGTTGAAAGCACAACTCCCGACTTCATGTACATGTTAGAAATTTGGTCATGTTAAATTTGTATTAAAAAAATTAAAGACGTTTTAATTCTCTGTAACGCCGAATTAGAGACCAGCTATTGAGGAGGAAGAGGGAAGGGGAGCGGAGGGAGGGGCGGATATGCCCCTCCTCTCCCTCCCCTCCTCCTCTTCTAAATTTCCCGCTAAATTTAGCGGAGACATTTTTCCGCTAAAAAAATTTTTTTTGCTAACTTTAGCGGGAAATTTTTTCCGCTAAATTTGACTGTGAAATGTTTCCACTGTACTTAGCGGACATATTTTTCCGACAAATTTAGCGAGGAAAGTTTTCCACTAAATTTAGAGGGAATATTTTTCCGCTAAATTTGGCGGGGAAATCGTTCCGTGAAATTTGGCGAACACTTTTTTTTCCGCTAGATTTAGCGGGGAACAATTTAGCGGAGAAATTGTTCCGCTAAATTTAGCGGGGAACTCGTTCTGATAAATTTAGCGGGAAATTTTCCGCTAAATTTAGCGGGGAGTTTTTACCTCTAACTTTAGTGAGGAAATTTCTCCGCTAAATATAGCGGCACATTTCTTGCTAAATTTAGCGAGCGAATTTCCCCACTAAATATAGCGGAAAAATTTCCCCGCCAAATTTAGCGGGGAAATATTCCTGCTAAATTTAGGCGCCGTGTGACGCTACGTGTTATGTCATTTTGGGAATGTCCCATAATGCAACGCGCGGTTACGCCGACAGCGACGCCGCTCAAGCAGGAAACGGGCGCCTAAGAGCTGCGCTCTAAAATTATGTTTCGTCAGATCTGAAATGGTACTGATTAAGGTATTCTACTCTCACCAGAAACGCACACAGACAACACATCGCTCCGTTTGTACTGGGGGCAGCTTTTCGGCAGCCCCCCCCCCCCCCCCTATTGAACTCTCGCTACTTTTAAGTTATGACTCGGTCAGCGCAAGCGAGGATGCTAAATATATTAGGGGCTGACACTCTTCCACGAGAGGATTTCTTGCTGAAACTACGGGGCTGACAACATACTCTCTCCTAGTACGTTTATCTCTCTTGGGTGCGAGCCAGTGCAAGCGGCGAAAAACTCAGAATTCGGAGGAACTTCTGAATCTGGCGCCATTTCTGAAAATAACTGATGAATCCCCGATTACCCCCCGAAACAAGGCATCCCAGTTTAGAAAGAAAAAAACTGTATAGGGGATGGAAGGGCACTTGAAAGATTGCGTTGAAAAGTACTTGTAATTTACTTTGAAAGTACAATTTATTTATACTACTTTGAAAGTACATTGTATTTATAATACTTTGAAAGTACATTTTTTTATACTACTTTGAAAGTACATTGTATTTATACTACTTTGAAAGTACATTGTATTTATACTACTTTGAAAGCACATTGTATCTATACTACTTTGAAAGTACATTGTATTCATACTACTTTGAAAGTACATTGTATTAATACTACTATACTTCCAGCAAATTGCTCCCGGTGTGTTTACTGCTTAAAGTAAATAACCTCTTATTTACTTTGTGCTTCACTTCAAATAATTTTAAATGCACTTTACCCAACAGTGGCTTATGTCGCATGAACGAGCGCGTCCAGGATCTGAAGCACTTGGGAACCGGCCGCCACCGACTTAACACTATAGTCGGATACAGGTTAAGTAAGAATGCTTTAAATAAACACCGACACACATTAACTATACGGCATATGGTCGCTTCGAGGACAAACCAGGGAAAGCAGTCGCCATGTCGAGTTATTTGATATGTGAGTTTCCGGTAGAGAAAGACATTTGCGCTACCCGGGGCGCGCAAATGTCTTTCCTGTTTAGGTAAAGACATATTTTTCTGCGCCCAGTCTGCTTTGTCCTTCTTGATAGTGAGTAGTATGCACCGAGCCCCACACACGTCAACGCAGAGTGCGCCTCGGTAGCGGACTGTCTGAAAATTGCGAAGGAACACTAGCCGGTGGTAATTAGGGTGAGGGAGAAGTTTCGGGCGAATTCTTAACTTTGTTGTATCTGACTTTAACAAAGTTTATTTTGTAAATAAACGTAAATCTACTACTGAAACGGTAATGTTATCGTCTTCGTAATGGCGTGACGCGCCACAATAATTTTCTTATACGGCTGAAAGTTGACGTCGCCCTGCGTTTTTGAATGCATTGCGTTTGGTTGTCTCTTTTTTATCGCAGGTCATGAAAATCACAGCACTTGTGGTGTTTTGTCTCGCCCAGATCTTCCTCGCTTGTTCCCAAAACACTGGTCAGGATATTGTGACAACCAAATCTGGACTCGTCCGAGGCACTTTGCTGCGAACGACAACAGGACAGGTGCGAGCATTTTTAGGCATTCCTTTCGCGGAGGCCCCCGTAGGAGATCTCCGATTCAAGAAGCCGGAGCCGAAGCAGCCTTGGAACTATGTCTACAACGCGACGTCTCTACCGAAGATGTGCTCACAGCCCAGTGTTCATCTCACCAAGTTCTATCAGGTGAATACAGAAAATAGCGTGAGTGAAGACTGCCTGTTCTTGAACGTGTTTGTTCCCATCTCAAATTGCACCCAGATGCCTGTCGTCGTATACATACACGGCGGGGCGTTTACCTATGGGGGAATATCAATGAACATCACCGACACAACCGAGTTGAGTGTGCGTGGAGATCTGATCACCGTCGCCATTGCGTACAGACTCGGCGCTTTTGGCTTCCTGAGGACAAGTCTTGAAGATGTGAATGGGAACATGGGGCTCTACGACCAAGCATTGGCCATACGCTGGGTGAAGGACAACATCAAATCCTTTGGAGGAGACCCCAACAAGATCACATTAATGGGACAGAGTGCTGGATCTATCTCCATTGGACTGCACCTCCTGTCTCCTATAAGCAGAGGTCTCTTTCATCGCGCCATCATGCAAAGTGGAAGCCCTTTCACGAGAGTGGTGCTCAGCGATGACGAGAAGGCACGCAGTGTTGCTAGGAAACTCGCCGATGCCCTCGGTTGTGAGACTGAAAATCAGACGCTCAAGACCACACCAGAAAATGTTATTCAATGTCTCCGGTCAAAGAACGCTTCGGAGATTATTGACGCGACTGAAGGTTTTAGTTCGGGTGGTCTCGACGCATTTTTCCCTCTGTTTGGCGAGGCATATCTGCCAGAGGGTCCTCTTGCAGCGCTTGAAGCCGGTCACTTACCTGCCGTAGACCTGCTTGGCGGAGTGACAGAAGCAGAAGGAGATTTCTTTTTATACTATTTTGTCGGGCGTTATCTCGATTTGTCAACCTCTCAAGGAATTACTAAAACTACTATGAAGCTATTTCTTAGAATTTTTCTCACCGGGACTGCCCAAGGAAACACGAGGCCTATACTAAATCGTTATTTTTCCAACATTGACGAAAACGGCGGGAGGCGGGCCGTGCAGGCAGGTGCTGATATCATTGGAGATCTTCATTTCAGCTGCCCTATGGTGGAATTTTCTAAAGGCCTTCAGCGCTTGAACAACTCTATCTATATGTATAAACTGGGAGTGAGACCATCCTTTGGCGATTGGCCGAAATGGGTTCGCACTACACATGGAGATGACATCTTCTTCAGCCTGGGTTCAATGTATAAGGTGGCAGACAACTTTACAGCAGACGACGTCAAAGCTGCGGAAAATCTGATACACATCATCTCAACATTCAGCAAAACAGGGTGAGTGGCGTAGGCCGAAATGGCATTGATTGGTAATCCAAAAGGAAAAGTCCGTAGTGTTGTGCCCGGTTAAAACGCCGTAAATAAAAATTTAAACTAAGTGGTCTGTTTTCAAGTAATGCATTCATTATAAGGAAGTTAAAATGCGTTGAACTTCGCTTCGTTTTTATTAAAGTTTCAGTGTCAGAGGTTCATGAACAAATGCAAGGGAGCATGCGGTGGCGAGGCCCTTGTGTCAGGATATTTTTTTCTAATATTTGTCGCCAGTATTTTAATGTGATCCATTAGGCGGGAGCAAAAACCAAGCATTGCATTCCTTAAACAAACATGGTCCGGACCATGTTTGTTTAAGGAAGAACCTGAGTTAAAGCATATTTTGTGTTTCTTGTCGAACATATTTTGTAAGGAGCATTTTTTTATGAAAAGCCACAATCATTTGGTCCTTCTTTATACTAAATTTACGCTGTCAACCTACGCATCAATAGACATGACTCTGCTTAGTTATCAAATGTAATTCCATATGATAGTAGTCATCTGCACCGCCTGTAACAATTAACTCTAACCCTGTTTTTTTTTTTGTGTGTGTGTGTATGCATGGGGGGAAAGGGAGGAGAAGAGGAAGTATAAAACCTTTCTGAAGGCTGCTTAATATCGAAATAACATCTATCGCAATTGAGGACCGTGGGAGTATCTTCATGTCCAAGAACATTTGCTCTCAACTTGAAAAAAAAGCACCACAAATACTCAAAAAAACTTTAACTGTCTAATATAGCCTGTATTCGCATGACTAGAACCTAACTGAAATCATGTTTCAGATAAGTGAAACAATACAACTTTGTCATGCAAGACGAAAAAAACAACTATGTATGTCACACTTCAGCGCGGTCCAAACCGACACGTATTACAAATACCTGCGCCGGGACACGTAAAAAGAAATACGTCTTCCGGCGCACGTATAGACGTTTTTGTTTCTTTTAGTTCTTAGTCACGTGGGTTTTATATCTGACTTGCGGGACGAATAAATAATAAGACATTTCAACATGTAATATGCTAGAAAATATATGTGAGGCAACATAAGAATCTGTGACAATCACGCATTCTTCGTGAAAACCTTGGAGTGGCGTGGAGACATCAGAATGATGTTTTAACGCATACCAGAATTAGCGACGTGCAAGAATGCTGCGCCCCTGTGGAAAATATGCATAGAGTGAAAACATTTGCGCATTGGGTTGCACGGCCATCCTGAAGACATGAGCGTATTCAGAATAGGGGCGAGGGGGGGAGAAAATACGTATCGATGCGGAGGCGGGCGGAGGTACTTCACGGCCACGGGTGTAATGCGGCCGCTACAAGTGCCTCCGCTGTCGAGAATATAGCCCGTCGTCTGCTCCCCGACGTGACGACAACGGCAACGTCGATCGGTTCCAGGCGCGAAGCTCGCTGCCCATCGAGCGTAGCGACATCGTCGCGTGGGAGCAAAGGTACCTTCACTACTTCGCATCAAACGGAGAAGAGCGAAGAAAACGCTTTTATTTCATGTCGTCGAAACTAAGATGGTGACGGCAAAGCACATATTTTACTTAATACTAATATAATAATTCTAATAATGTTTTATTTTCCGTCAAGTGCATGACGGAGAGAGACTGGAAAAACGCCGCACAGACGCAGCTTGACGAGTCTTCGGCCTTCCGTCCCGCGAAGCCTCAATGTGCGACAATGGTAGGACGAGGCAAGCATCGCTAACCTGATTTACCACGCGACTGATCACAAACTACGAGATTTGGCATGACGACCACAGTTCACAAGCGAATAAATGCTTCTAAAAGGCGTCGTTTCAGTGGGCATCCTTCATTTAATGACGCCAGCAGAGGAGTTGACGGAGTTCGGTGAGGCAGCACTGTGGTGGCGTCCTTCGAGCATGTGGTGAGCAAAGCATTTTCACGCCGCCCCACAGAAACCATCGCGAGGGAAGCTCACACTACCGCCAGTCTGCGACGCAGCTTGACGAACAAAGAAGCGGCGCCGATAAACCTTCCTCCGGTGTCGACGGGCATACTTGGTCTACACGCTCGGCTAGACCACGCGCGGAAACGTTGAGCAGTCGTTGGCGGAGCAACACTCCAATTCTCACGTCATCACACAGAAAGTACCGCGCACAAATGCGGATGCAGAAATAAATTTACGACGAGAGGGACGTGACCGGCGCAGTGCACCCGGTCAACTCCGCGCTCGGCGACACCGGCGTTGCCGGCATCGTAGACTGCGTTCGTTGGTCAAGCACGCGAAAAGCACGTGATCACCGGCGGGAAGGAAGCGCGCTCCGGGACTGGCCACACCCGGAATATGGGCGCCTACGTCACAATATGGGCGCCCGAATAATTTAAAATATTGGGACTCTGAATACTTGAACCGAAACACGTAAAAACGGCAGAACCGGAAACGGTCATCCATGTTCCGGCGCATGAATGTGAACTACGTGTCGGTTCGGAACGTGCTTCACTGTCCTGATATGTCCGTGTTTTGCATGAATCAGCTGGAAATGGTACAGTCATTGTCACAGTAATACGAACGGCGAAGTACATGCATTTCTGAGCCTGAAGAAGACTCTAGCCGAACTCGCTAGCACTTCACCGGAAATATTATCACTGACTCCCGCTGTGGAATTATCTTCACTCTTGGCTCCACGTGGCGCGACACTCGCCATTATGATGGCAGGCACACCCTTGAATTGCTCTTTTTCAAATTCAAAGGACCGCCAGGATCGCGTGGAAATGCGACATGCAAATTTTAGCATTTTCATCTGCAGTGCAGAGTGATTTTAATGTGTGTTTCCTGTTTAAGTCAACGAAGGTGGTTTTATATTGCAATAAATCATTGTATTGATAGCACACTGGCCACAGTGCCAGTGGAATATTAGAGAACTACGCCTCCTCTAAATGAAATTAGAACGGTTTCAATCAAAAGCTTAAATAAAATTTGTAAATAAAATAAGCTGCTCCTGCGGCTGTACGGTAACTTGCAGCCGTGCCACGAATTCCTATGAAGGAGCGGCGTCATTTTTGAAGCCAACCACCCAAAAACACAGCGTAAAGGCAGCGCCGTTGGCGGTGAATAAGAATGATAAAATATGTCGCGACAAATCAATAAATAAGTCTGTCTCTTTTTTTAAACACTGCCCACATTCACCGCTATGTGGGTGGCACCTTAGGTATTATTCACTCAGAGACATGTAAGTAAAGAGTTTGATCGTTAATTGGTAAGAGTAGGACGGAAATACGGCCATGTCGCTGGCCGAAAGTACTGCAATGATCTTGGGCGCGATAATTGAAAGCTCTTCTGACCAAACACTATAGCCACATATATTCCCTTAACGGAGGAAATCGGCGCAACAAATACCCTTCAATCGCAATTTCTAGCTAAGGACGTATTCAAGTATTTCATTTCAGCATTCTACAGTTCAAATTGGCGACTCTTCCTAACTGAAAGGGCAACGCACTTGACGTTGTCTGCACGGTGACATTCAAAAAGCGTTCCATCTTTCTTTTGAGTGCACTCCTGGCCGCGGTTACGAGAGATTGGATGGTAGAAACCGCGGATTCGACTCCGGGGGAATTTTGACCCAAACCTCGAACGCGCACCCACATTCGCAGTTTCGCCTCTTGTTTCAGGAAATGTTTCTCGTCAATATCACTTTTGTTGGCTCAGTAAACGCACTCAGCACCTTCAAACTCCCCTTTTTCACCAATCTCTTACAATTATAAATTCATGTACTCTAAGCCTCATCCAGAAACAAAAAAAAAAAAAAAAAATACCTGCGCCGCGCTACGCGAATTTTTCAAGGTCATCCTAGCTCATTCTTACTTCGCAAGTTCATCACGGGGAGAATATGCGGCGCTGGCTTCGGCGCCGCTCTCCCTGCTCCACCTCGGCTCCCACAGCTTCCTCCCATTGACCAGACTCTCTCAATATACGGCTCTCCATTTGGTCACCGCTTAGTTCTTATTTCTTTTGACCATGACTCTACATGTGAGCAGCGAATTCATAGTAAAACGACCTAAGCTAGACCGAAGCTAAGTAATATAGTTTGATGTGTATAAATATATCTATCCAGTCTCTACTTTTTTATTTTGAACGAAACGTTTTACATTCTATCTGCTCCCTTGGCTCTTTACAGGATCCCACAGACGCTAGAAGCCGTACCCTGGCCAAGGTTCCAGGACGAAGAACAGTTTATGGACCTTAGTGTCGAAAGTTACAGTCCCAAGAAAGGCATTTTCCGGTCCGAGTGTGACTTTTGGAAGAGCGTTTTACCATTCAAAGACAGTGTTTAATGTACAACCACTCTATGTAAGCAAATGTTTGATAATCAAGAAGAGTTTCATAACGTATGTATGTCTGTATGTAGTCTTTAGTTCAGACAAAAGAGAAGTCTGGGGGGCTGGGATAAAAGTAGATTTCTGACGGGACCCCAGCCCTAATGTTTTTACAGCACTCATCAGAAAACTAAGCAAACACTGAAATGAATTCTCTTGCCAACGGGCATATGTATAAAATATAAATGAATGCAACTCAAAAGCCGGGATATGAACTTCAGATCATGAGAGACTTAAAATATATGTTACAAGGTTATCTTTGAATGTCCGAAATGAAACGTTGTTTTGCACCACTTGAGTTATTGTAGGGTGTGTATTCAATGTGTCTGGAATTATATATGAAAGTTGCTGGAAGCCATAATTTTTTCGAGCTTTGCTTTTTACGTAATGACTGCGTCGTAGACTGTAGTTTCCGGAGTTTTGGGGTACGTGTTAAAAGTAGTGATTGATTCTGTCTGATCTTGTTAAAAATATTGATTGATATTTTTAGGGTCATAATTTGCTCTACAGTCAATATCTTATAGTCCCGAAAAACTGGCATTCAGTGATCATATTTCTGAAAGTTTCCAATAAATCTAACGGTTTTTTTTTGCAGTATAAATAATTTGCTGATATTTGTCTTTGTAGTTGTACCCCATACTCTTATACAATATTGCAGTCGTGAATAATTAAGTGTATGGTACAGTTGTAACTTTAACCACTTTGGTAAATATTTCCGTAGTTTATTTAATGACCCTATAGCTCTTGATATACAGATTCTCATTTTCTCAATGTGGGGAGTCCAATTGAGTGTTTCTTCAAACAAGACACCTAAATATTTGTGTGTTCTAACGCGCTCAATTTGTAATTTTTCGAAAAGAATATTTAAGTCGTAGGAAACGGGTTTATTCTTTGATCTAAAAATAATATATTTTGTTTTACTGGCGTTTAGAAGCAATTGATTATATTTTAACCACACAAGTAAATTTTCCAGTCAGTTATTGGAGACTTGTTCGAGGTGAAGCAGGTCTCTACTTGCAAAAAAAAAAAGACGTTCAAATCATCAGCATATAAAATAATATCGCGTGATTGAGGTATAGTTACAATGTCGTTTATATATAAAAGAAATAATAAAGGCCCAAGAATCGAGCCTTGTGGAACACCGTATATCTAATGGGTGCCAACTCTGACTTAAAAACCATGTAGTGCTCTATATCGAAAACGGGATGATAAATAACTACGAATAATTTCCAGCGCATTCCCTCTAATTCCAAATGACTCCACTTTTTGTAGTAGAATTTGGTGCTTAATTGAATCAAACGCCTTTTTAAAGTCTAAGAATATTTCAATTGTAATATCATAGTTTTCTATATTTGAAATTATTTTGTCTTTAATCTGCACCAGGGCAGATTCAGTTTATCTTTCCTTCTGAAAACCAAGCGGATGATCAGTTAACAGTTTATTGCTTGCAGAGTAGTTATACAATCTTGAGGCAATACAAATATGGGTTTATAGTTATTGAGATTTTTAAATGTACCACCTTTGTGGATAATGCAGACTTCTGCAATTTTCAATTTATTTGGAACAATATCCGAAACAATAATTTGATTACATATATAAAATAAAATGGGTTACACTAAGTCTATTAACGCCTTGATAGGAATAGTCTTAATACCGTCATCACCGCATGCACAGCTATTTTTAAACGACATTATTATGCTATGTATTTCTAATTCATCAGTGGGATGAAGAAACATTTAGTTTGTCATATGCTGCTGGTCGGTAGAGTGATAATTCGAAAATTCTTCTGGCAATCCGCTGGCACCAGGCGAAAAAACATATTCATCAAACTTGTTCGCCAACGAGCTCCCGGCTTATATGTAGCCGTCAATTTCTAACTCTTCTGGAATAGCAACATGATTTATCGGCATTAATTTTTTCATAGTGTTCCCAATTTTTAGTAGGGTTCCCTATATTTTTAAAATGCATTTTCATAAAATGTTATTTTGGTTTTTTTTAATATATCCATTGCAAGTTTGTTCCTATATTTTTATAGTCACTCAGTAAACTCTTATCCTTAGTTTTGATAAATTTGGCAAAGATTTTGTCCCGCGCTACTATTCGTTTGTAGAGTTCGCGTGTAACCAAAGGTTTTAATGACTTTTTGTTTTTTCTTGCTTCAAGTAATGTAAACGCTTTATCGTAGTATTCTTGTAATTTTCTTATGAAAGAATCGTAGGCTTTTCCTGGATTTGGTTCATTTAATATGTCATTCCATGTTTTTTTTAAGGAGACGAGGCTGTAGAAGCATTTTAAAGTATTTTGATTTATATTCCTACAAAATACTCTATTCTTGGTGGTGGAACAATTATGTTGTGAATTCTTCTTAGGAAGAAAACGAAAGATGGGCAAATGGTCACTCAGATTTGCGTTAGTACTCCAGCGAAAACATCAGAGCTTTGGCAGTTTGTGATGCAGATATCGATCAAGGTTTTCGGACATTCGGCTGTACGATTTGGGACATTAATAATATTCTCGCATCCATTTAATTTAACAATTTCTAAAACACTCATTTTTATAGATTCGTTCCTTAGCAGATTAATATATAGGTCACCTGTTAATGCTATTTGCATATTTGCTGAGATAACGTAGTGTAGTAACTCTTCCAAAAAGTTTAGAAAAACATTTACACACCGGATGGCGTCGATAAATTACAGCAATTATGACACTTCCACACATCGTAACCAAAGAATAGAAATCAACGTTTACGCACGTAAATTCAGATAGTACGTGGTACGACGTTTTACTCTGGAAATACAAAGAAACTCCGCCCCCGCGACGAGAATCGCGACAATTCGCTTCACACTTGTAACCATCAAATTGAGCTATCTATTTTTCGCCAGAATATCATGTCTCAGTGGAAGCTAGGATACCAAAGTACAACAAAGGGAGTCCAGATATAGACAGACATCATCAAATTTATTACGCAGACTACGTGCATTTAGGTGAAACAGTTTAAGCATGTTACGATTCGGGCAGTTTTTATTTATACAGCTTCGGAAAGATGTCACGTCATAGTAAGCATCCTTCATGCCCTGAAGCGCCATGGTTAATTCTACATCCTAAACACATTAGACGAGCATAACACCCTTAAATGATTTTGGCGAGATCTCTCTCATTTTTGATGCCGATAGGTCGGTCACCTGATTTCTTTCTAACAAAAACCTTACCACCCCTTTGCCATGTAAACTGATAACGCATTTCAGTGGCCTTGGTTCTCGCATGCCAGAGCAGCCTTTTGGTTTGAGCAGCGGTCCCTTTCCGGGATCCGGTTTACAAGGCTCGCGTCAGTGTGCTTGAACGCGTTCAATCTGTTGCTGCTCAGTTTCTCCTGAGGAGGTACAATAGTTTACTCAGCAGAACCAAAAAGAAAAAAGGAACTGGGCTTGAAACTTTTAAATGAAGGGTGTACAGATTTCCGCTATAAACTGTTTTACTAAATTTATTGTAACCAAACAAGAATGCATGTGGCATCGTTTCTGCACTCGCCACAATACCCTTCCTCTCGATAAGACCATTGTTGCAAGATCCAGTCATATTCCTCCAAATCACATATTCTGAAACATTATTTCTTTGCGCGAACCACCATTTAATGGAACTCATTACTGGCAGACATGGTGTGCCACTAGACTGTGGTTTCTTGTTTTTTTATTACTATACTTTGTGTCCCTCGCAATAATGCATTACAGGTGCTGTTTTTTTATCCATAAAAAATAAAGAAAGACAAAGCTCTTGTAAAAATTGTATGTACTGAGGTTGTAAAATGAGCAATCTTTACAAACAATTAAAAATATAGTAAACATAAAAATAATAACAACGTGTTGAACTGGGTGAGTTGGTAGAAGTTTGACATGGTGGGTGTAACAGCTTCAAAAAACGAGGACGATGAAAGGAACAGACACGACAGGATAACAGCTGTACTCGCAACTGAAATGTTTTATTTGGAAAGGAAATGAGAACATATATGTCAGTACCAGATAACACAGCGTGTAATCAAACAATACGCCCTTCATAAGGCACGTGTCATTAAAATAGGTTCACTCGACGCAACCATGCATGCCAATCATGGTCTGGCGCAAAAAGGACAGCTCCTTATCACATAAGGCAACCGACGGGAGGATCAGTGACCGGGCGGGCTAATGCGCACACCCAGCTCGACGCGCGTGGAGCGAAAGCTCGCGCTGCAGAACCCAGGGATCCTGGGTTCGAGCCCCACCCCTGCCCGGTTCGATCTGGTTAGCATCGTACCGGCGTGCGGTCGTGTATCACTACTGCGTAGTGCACGTTAAAGACCCCAGGCTAGTTGTACTGCACTGGCTAAATTGCTCATCTACAGCGTGTGACTCGTCGCAACTTTAATGGCTGACCAATTACACGCTGTATAAATATCCCCACAACCAACAAATTTAAGGCAACCGACGGCTCACTCACACATCTTTCTCCAAGGCACGAAATATAAAAAGCCTCAATAATTTCGCGAGTGGACCTCTCTTGCTTACTCGTTGAGGGCCACGGTGGGGGGACTCCTCCCTTTGCTTTACAGAGACTGCACGTGTCAGCCGGCCTTTGACGAGGTGACGGTTGAAGGGAGGCATAGAAAGAGGGCCACTCGCGAAATTATTTTGCCGTGCGTGCGTGCCTGCGTGCGTGCGTGCGTGCGTGCGCAGTGTAGTGTAGTGTAGTGTAGTGTAGTGTAGTGTAGTGTAGTGTAGTGTAGTGGAACCGTGTTGCGACATGGATGCTCGGCGTTTATAATTGGGTTCCGCCTTTTCGGGGTTTCCTTTTTTTTTATTTCGAATTCGGGAGTGTTGTTTCGGGGTTTATTTTCCCAGCAGATTCGGTATCAATTTTTGGTGTCGGACAAACGAATCGGTGTTTATCGGACTTTATGTCGAAGAAACAGAACACTGGCATGGGAC